ACTTTTGGACTAAGGTATGTATGACCAGATCGAATTACGTCACAAATTACTCTATGTACCATTCACTATGGGACACGTTCTGATTAATTTAACATTAAAATCAGTTCATCAGAGTTTATGTCCTATTTCAAAGGACGTACTTAGTTTTTTCTCTTTAATGTTACATTCCTACAAACTCAATTATTGACATCTAATGGCAAATTAAAGGTTAAATGGATATTTTGCAGCAGTTTACGTGTTTCGTTACATTACATTATATATTTTCCATTTAGAAGAACACAGATTGGTATTTTCCTTTTTTGTATTAAAAAACAAACGCTACAAATCGTTTACTAAAACTACCATAATTATTTGTTAAATAATTTTTTGTGACATTATTTTGAGAACATCGGTAAAATGACTAATTTAAAAACTTAACAGTTCGAGTGTACTTTTTTAAATTTTTCAAAGAAAAAGAAGAAATGCAATATTTACATATACTTAGATATGTCTTTGACTAATTTGTTTTAATTGATTTTCCCTGATAGATCCATCATTCTTCTAGTAAGTATCATTTAATTAAACGTCATTTGATATCCTATCTGTACCCATTTATCTAAAAAAATGTAGTCAGGATCAAGTGGGTCACGTAAACATAATTTTTATGTACATATTTAAAAATAAACATTATTGTAGTATTAAAAATTTAAGACATATTTCTGGTTTCTCATAAGTATCTGCGTCTTTCTAAATTCAGTCGAGTCAATTCCCAAAACATTTGAATGATTAATTAGAAGTTTTCGATGTTTTGATCAGTGTTAAAACTTTAAACTTATCGAATAGTACCACTTAATTTGTATAGTGGATTAACGTAATTGGTATTATAATCAAATTATACAAAATAAGTCCCAAGTGTTCAGTAAGTACCTGATATACATCCAAAAGTGGAAATAGTGATACATAGATATCTAAATTAGATCTACAAAGAGGGACTTTTTTTATTAACTCTGTACATATAGAAAACATAACAACTTGTTTTCAAAGATCGTTCCGGATACCGTCGAATTTCATTTACCATTGCCAATACTACCATTAACCACTTCGCTCTCGTACCATAAAAAATGCCCGTATAATGAATATTCGTGCTGCTTTGAAACAAACAAGACCTAGAGGGCGGATATCTAATCAAATCTTCTAATGAGGGATATTTTCTTCGGTCTCGCAGCGTCAATAAGATTTGTGGCCTAATAACAGTCACTTTCATTTTATTGGTGTTGCTTTCCGTTCTGTTAAAAGGCAAATGGCTTTTTTATTACCTAGGCGAACATATATCGTTATTGTACTTGTTTGCTCTTGCTGTTTTTTCGGTATGGGTAGATTTCAGTTTCAAATTGTTAACGTGCTTGTGTACTAATCTATCGAGGCTACCTAATACTTTACATATAACGTTTATATGAATCATAGCTTAGTCATTCTGAGATTTTTTTACTTAATAAGTGCAAAAGAATTGTTTGGAAGACCTAAACAATTTTCAGTTTTGAAATCAAGAGCTTTTTCTTTAATAGACTTTCTTTAATACATAATGTCCATCCAAGTTATGAGATCTCAGAAATACAATCTTTATGTTTTGCTATACATATCTTGCTCGACGCAAAAAATCCATTTTATTATATCAGGCTGTACATTTTTGCCGAGTCGTCATATCGCTTTCTATTTTTTTTTTATAATCGCGTTATAAACTGATTCGCTGATATTTTTCTTGAACGCGCCAGGTACATATCTCGTTTATCTAATCTTAATGACCTTCATTTGGATAACAATAGGCCTCTAAACTGTTTCTCACTTTAAGATAAATAATAAACCCTGTCAAGATGTGCTTTATTTTTAACGATGTCACATTTTATGGGATTTTATTTGCGTAAATGAGTTATTCTCTTTATACTATCATTCGATTCTGCAATTATGAAAGTAGATAACGAAAAAATGTACACTTATCTGTTATAAGAGGGAATTTTATGTACGAATTTCGCAATTATTACAAAACTAGGTACTATACAAACTACAGTTGCAGACACAAATTGTCAACAAATACTGCAATTGTATAATTTATAAAAACATGGTTTTAATAAAAGTTGTCTGGAATCATGTAGGCCATGTATAGAAAATTTTTTAGCTTTACAGGGTGTTCCATTTCGCATGGGCGCTACATAACTTTGTTATTTTAAATTGAACTCCCTGTATATTATTGCGTTTTTGAATTCCTTGGTTAATAGAGTTAGTAGAGTTTATTAAATGTACATGGTGTTTAAAATTTACCGTTTTAGACATATTCAGTTGCTTTTGAAAAAAATCACGATTTCAGCTCTCTAAATGATGATAGCCAGTATCTAAACCGTAAGAGTTAGAAACCTGCAGTTTTCACAATTCGTTTTGGCATAAATTACTCTATCTTGTCATCTGTGGATAAAACGTGTACATTATTCAGATTTGGAAATACTGAGACCTACATTTAATAATCTTACTAGTTGATAAACTTTTTTTTTTCAAATGGAATGACCCATATTAATTGTCATGGATAAATGCAAAATTCAATGACCTTTCGACAGGTATATGTAAGGTTGTCCATACTTATCTTTGACAGTTTTCCAGAAAAATTAGGTTCTTTTCTGAAGTCAAGAAAAGTAGCTATACCTATAACAGCGTCAAGAAGGCCTTGCAAAACCACTTTTCTCTCACATTTTATCAGGCCTGGGACTGACAGTGTCAATATTTACTAACATGTTTAAAAAGTGGTTTGACAGACAAAAGTAAACCACTAACAACAACTAAAACAAAACGCAAAACGAAATAAACTGAAGCTCGGAACACAACACAAGGAGACGAATACTTAGACCACTGATTTACATCAATTGCTCGAAGTGTCCTCCATTTTAATTAACACACAAACGAAAGGGGGTGAGTTTTTAAGGGTAAACAACGGTTTCCCTTGATTTCCAGAAAAACTACAAGTCTTATGGAAAAAAGTTAAATGGCAAAGTTGTAGGTAATAAAAAGATCTACAACTTTTGTATTTACACTTTTTTCACATAACCTCAAAATTTATGTGAAAAATTCAAATAACCAAGTTTTTCGTTTTTTATTTTTATCTTTTACAAACAAATTTTTTTTTTTCACTAAATTTGGTGAAAACTTAGCTATTTATGTCCCAAACACGCTGTAATTTTTTTGATTTGAAATATTTATTTTTTCACCTTATTTTTACTTAATATCGAAAAAGCACCCTAATTTTCAATCGAAAATTCTCACGTCAAAATATCTGCTTTTTTAAAAACGTCGGTGGGCTTTTTCTTGATGGTGTAAAAAAAAATATACATTATTATGGTAAGTTTTCTCAGGAAATGCAAAGAAACGAAAGAAGATTCTACAACATTCTCAAAATATTGTAGATGTCTTATTAAATATTAACTTTATTAACTTATTTGGTTGTTAATTATAATAAACTCATTTAGAGAGCTGAAATCGTGATTTTTTTCAAAAACAACATCTTTTAAAACGGTAAGTTTTAAACACCATGGACATTTAATAAACTCTACCTAATATTAACCAAGGAATTCAAAAACGCAACAATATACAGGGTGTTCCATTTAAAATAACAGAGTTATGTAGCGCCCACGCGAAATGGAACACCCTGTAAAGCTAAAAATATTTTCTTTACATGGCTCACATGATCCCAGACAACTTTTATTAGAACCATTTTTTTTATAAATTTGACAGTTACAGAGTTACAGTTTTTGAAAAAGACTACCCATAGCCTGTTCTTATTTGCGAAAGCAGCAAATTTTGTTCTTTATTCCCACCCACAAATAAAAAACATACACCAAGTGTTAAAAATATCTCGAGCGGTTTTATTTAATTTTAGATACCTATATTTATTTAACCAAATACCTTAATTTTAGCCATAGAATACGCCCCTAGATTTTCTACATGTACCTAGTAAACACTCTGTGTATTATAGTGTAAAAAGACTTTAGGCAAGAATATTAATAAACCTTGCCAAAAAAACAGTTTTAAATTTTTAGCTTTTCAGATTTTCTGAACTAGCATCACAAAATACATCGACTCTAGATCAGTCATTGTATGTCAAGATTAGACTGTTAGGCCGAAAAAATGTATATCGCCCGTTTGTAAGTCATTAACCTTTCAATCCAAGAGGATATTGGAAGCGATTTATAGGCGCCTACCCAGTCAATCAACTTGTGAAATACAGTTCAAACCAAAAAATGCGCCTACTGTTTCGAATAAGTCTTTTGTTCGTGTCCATTCAAATTTCAGAGTAAGTGGAAATTGCAGTGTACACGTATTCATTGATAGATGAAAATTGGTTGTAATAAATTTCAAAAAAATACATTATTGAAAACTAGAATTACTAGGAACTTAGTACGTGGTGACTTTGTTTGGAAATCAGATAGAGAAATAAAATCTTAACTATAGACAGGGTGTCCAGGAGATGGTAGACAATCTCTCGGGTTTGGATAAAAAATGATATGTCTAAATATTATTAATTATTTTTATTATTAATGCAACAATTCAAAGAAATATCTTTTACTTTTGTTGTTCTTACAGTACACTTCTTACAAAGACGAACACATAAAAATAGTTTCTACAAAAAGAGAACCACATATTCGAATTGACTTATAACCTTTATTACAAAATATTAAATGTGAGAGCTAAAGAAAATAAATATTTCTAAAGAATATATAGTTTAATTTGTGATATTATTTTAAATTAAAAAAAAACTATTTAAAAAGTAGTTATCAACCAAAAGTGTATACAAAAAATTGGATTGCGCCGTCTCTTCTGGAACTGACAGTTTTTGTTATTTCCCCATTTTCTGTTTATATGGATTTATCCGGTTTTGCGTCCATAGACATTATTTATTTGCCTCACCATAAAACTAACTACTATTAAGTCCAGCTGAAGCAACACATCTCACTTAAATTGACAATCTCTCCTATTTTCAGGTAACCCACCGGGTCACGGGCCAGGTGATGGTCCTGAAGATGAACCAGCTGCGCTCCAACCGCCGCAACATGCTGAAGGAGGTGCAGCTGATGAACCGCCTGTCCCACCCCAACATTTTGCGGCTGAAGGGGGTGTGCGTCCACGAGGGGCAGCTGCACGCCCTCACCGAGTACATCAACGGAGGCTCGCTGGATCAGCTGATACAAAACAGGAGCATAGACCTGCCCCAGGTCACGAGGGTCGCCATCGCCAAAGACATCGCCACCGGCATGGAGTATCTGCACTCGAAGGGCGTTTTCCACAGGGATTTGACCAGCAAGGTGAGGGGCAGATAGTTTTTTTTAAACTAAACTAACTAAATACACTAATACAAAAAATTAAAGGGTCAAAAGAATTTCCGAAATTTTTCCGTGATTTTTGACAGACTGTATTTAGGTGAAAAGTGGTCGTATCGGGAATTAAAAAAAAACATTTTAAAGCTCTAAGATTGTAGTGTTTAGATCTTTCGGTCGAAATTTTTTAGGGGCTACGGTTAACATGCAATTCTAAGAAATAGCGCGTCAAAAAAATTTTGCATTTTTTTTTTTATTTTATGAGTACAGACTTGGAATTTTTTTTTTCAGCTAAACCATTACATGGACCAGATAGCTTGTTTATTCAGCTTCAATTTCCTTTTTTTAAATTTCGATATGACCCTTTTTCATCGAAATATCGGACTTTTAATGGAAAAGGATCTTTTTGTCTTCAATCATCGATATCTCGGCGACAAATGGTCGTACAGAGAATTGAAAGGCAATTTCAAAAACTGAAATAAATTTCCTATAACATGCTGCCGCAACTTTTCGGAAACAAGAACCTTGTAAAGTTTCATCGTGATCTAGCGAACCGTTTCTTTGTTTCAAACAGTCAAACTTTTAATAAAAATTAAGGGGTCACGTTTTTTTTAAGTTTAAACACTTCATAATTTCATTTTTTTGAGGTTTTCTCACATTTTTACTGCAAATTTAGGGTTTCTGGTCGAGACTTCTCGAAGCGAGGATTCCCGGGAAATCTGGCCTTACTCGAGACGAGAAAAAAGTGTCGAGAAATCGAGAAATCGAGAAATTTAAAAATCACACGCGTCTTAAGTTCTTGACTGGAGTTCGTTTCGTTCATGCGTTCAATTCGTTTCTCGACAAATAACTGAGCGGTTAAAGTGGTTTCTCTACCAGCTCATCATTTATTTATTTTAAGTTTTTAAGGCTTTAGTTTACTTTGATGATTCCTTTTTTTTTAATGTACAGGGTGATTCACTATATTTTGACCCCCCCTTTAACTTTTTTGTTTTAAGAGTTATAAAAAAATGTGAAATACGAAAGTTGCACGATTTTTTTTGAAGTTTTCGAAAATGATAGAAAAACAAATGAAGTTCAAACAAAATGGCCGCGGATGTTAACTTTATACTTTAAATGGAACACCCTGTATATTTTTACATATTTGTATAGAACGTTCCTTGTCGAGCATAGTCATATAGGGTTTGTTGGGTCCATCTCTAATAATATTAAATGGATAATAAGAAGATAATATTAAAAAATGAAATTATGTTTTTTTATTAAAAAAATAAGACATCTTGTAATTGTTAGACCTCTTTCAGGCATTTCTGCCTTTTTTTCAATTACGTAAGGATTTAGATTTAGTTGTAATATATTTTGACATATCGGACATTGATATAGTCCAAAATGCGTATAGGTATTTTAAGTAAATCTCACTAATTAGACCGTGTGAGGCCAATTACTCATGGACAATCTTATATATGGTAGGTCGTGACAGTGACAGGTAGTAATGTCATGATAACATTGTTATTGTTTGACAGTTTGTATTAGTATTTAATTAAAATGGGTTACACAGAAGTAGAAAATTGAAATATTATTAGGAATTAAAATAAACTATGGAGAATATCTTAACTACTCTATCTTAATTCCTATAATATTTAAATTTTCTACTTCTGTGTAACCCATTTTAAATAAATAATAATACAAACTGTCAAACAATAACAATGTTGTCATAATATTACCTGTCACTGTCACGGCCTACCATATAACATTGTCCATGAGTAAATAAGCCCCTCACGGACTAATTAGTGCGATTTAGTTAAAATACTTATACCCATTTTGGACTATATCAATGTTCGATATGTCAAAATATATTGCAAATAAATCTAAATCCTTACGTAATTGGAAAAAAGGCAGAAATGCCCGAAAAACGTCCAACAATTACAAAATATTTTATTTTCTTAATAAAAAACGTTCTTTTCGTTTTTTAATATTATCTCGCTTATTGTTAGAGATGGACCCAACAAACCATATATGACTGTGCTCGACAGGGAACGTTCTATCCAAATGTGTAAAAATATACAGGGTGTTCCATTTAAATTAACAAAGTTAACATCCGCGGCCATTTTGTTTGAACTTCATTTGTTTTTCTACTATCATATTCGAAAATTTCATAAAAAATCGTGCAACTTTTGTATTTCACATTTTTTTATAACTCTTAAAACAAAAAAGTTAAAGGGGGGGTCAAAATATAGTGAATCACCCTGTACCTAGTTATAAGTCTGTGTAGAAATTTTATTATAAGCAGATACCTAATGTTGAAGTGATAAATTAATAGGAAGAACGCTTCTGTATCTTTAAATTAAAGCTTGTTTTTTTTTAAGATTTCTTCGGTTAAATTCCTTATTTACTATTTATTTAATTAAAAGACTGCATGATTAATGATTATTAATAATTATTATTGGAAGAAAACTACGATTCAAAAACATTGAAATAAACATAAGTATATTGAGTGTTTAATAAAAAAACAAGTTAAAGGTTATTATGAAGAAACTCGAAATTTAATTTAGTTTTGTTAGTAGAAGTAGAAACATAAGTAATTAATAAAAATACTGAATAAATAATAAATGTTAATGATGATTGCTAAGTATAATAGCATGTTTATATTTCGCATTGCAATACCAAAATTATTACTTTTTTAAGTTTTAGAAATTTCTCGAGAATTCGAGAATTCCCGGGAATTCCTAGTCGAGAATTCTCGAGACCCGAGAAATAAAATAGGCCCAGAAATCAGAAACCCTACTGCAAATAACGTTTAAATTATTGAAAAAAAAGTGTTTTTTGTTTTTTTGGAAAACCTTCCGGACATTGAAAAAACAAAATCCGTTTGTTTCCAGTGCGATTCAGCTTTTCCGTCCTATGCTTATGTTCGTCAACTTTTAATTAAATTAAAATTAAAGTTGCCCGAACTAGATGTCGACCCCGATTCATACCGTTTTTTGAGATAAATTTCTAATTAATTTTTGTGCAGTCGGTAATCACTTAAAAAACGGTTTTTTTCAAAACTACTCTTTTTCTTTGAAAAAAAAATTTTTTTTCATCAATTTAAACGTTATTTGCGGTAAAAATGTGAGAAAACCTCAAAAAAAATATATTTCCATTTTAATCATGATTATGAGGTGTTTAAGCTCAAAAAATGTTACCCTTTCATTTTTTTCAAAAGTTTAACTCTTCGAATCAAAGAAACGGTTCACTAGATCGAGATGAAACTTCACAAGGTTCTTATTTATTTATTTAATTAATTTTGCTTATAATGACATTACATAAATGTATAGCAATAGTCAGTATGATGGACAACAGTGGCCCAGACAAAAATACAAATATAGATGTGCACACACAGTATACAATATACAATCTTCTGGGTATATCGAACTGTAAGTCATGCTTAACATTAGTCATTTCGTGAATATTTCTAATTTAGCCGTCAATTTTCTAAAAAACCATAAATTACCCTTTTTTCCCTGTTTTTAAAAATTCGTGTAAAAGATGAAAAACAAAAAATTCCGAAAAGTTGCGGCAGCATGTTATAAGAAATTTATTCCAGTTTTCGAAACTGCCTTTCAACTCTGCACGATTATTTGTCGCCGAAATATCGATGATTGAAGACAAAAGGATCCTTTTCCATTAAAAGTCCGATATTTCTATGAAAAATCCCTGTTAAACAGTTTTAAAGGATTTGTACACTTGTTGCAGATTTATTAGATCATCTTGTACATCGTTTTTTTTAATTAAAATTGATGTATTAAAATAAATATATTTGGTTTCAAATATATGTAAAGACAAACTTTCAAAAATTTCTCTTTTTGACCTTGTTTTATGGCAGGAATTTATTCCACTTGATGCACAACTGTTTGCACAACATTTGTACAACCATATGTCTGCTACGTTCAGAATGGAATATTTTTTTAAGAAAAGAGGTATTGGTTAAATAGTATTTGATAAATTTCCAGATCTAGCTATGCAACTGGAACTTCTGAAGTTGCCTTTCTTTTTTTAGATTTATATTAATAATAAAAATGATAATAAAATAATAATAATAATAATAATAATAATAATAATAATAATAATAATAATAATAATAATAATAATAGTAACCCCTTTTTTGTTTCAGAATGTCCTCATCAAACGCCTGGAAACCAGCAGGCTCCAGGCCGTCGTGGGCGATTTCGGCCTGTCCACCAACATACCGGACTCCAGCAAGACGAAGCTGTGCACGGTGGGTTCCCCTTACTGGATGTCGCCGGAGTGCCTCAAGGGTCAGTACTACGACGAGCAGAGTGACGTATTTAGTTACGGAATAGTGTTGTGCGAACTGATTGCCCGCGTCGAAGCCGATCCCGATTACCTGCCCAGGACTGACAATTTTGGACTAGATTATCTAGCGTTTACGGAATTGTGCGGGTCGAATGTAGTACCTGAGTTTTTAGCTTTAACTTTTAGGTGAGTAAATGGTTTTAATGTTAATTTGTTGGAGAAGGTTTAAAGGAAAAAATGAATTTGGAGATCAAATCGATGAGGTGTTATTATTTCTCGTTATTCTAATTCAAAATGTGTTCTGAATAATGAATCTGAAATTGCTACTTGTGGGAATAGGTACTTTAAATGTGTCTATCCAATGATGTCACAAACTTGAATATATGCAGATTCAGAAATATTTTATCCACATGTCTATGCCTGAGCACAACCACATATTGTTGCCAATTTGAGGATTTTTTCCTTAGTTCTAGGGATCTTTTTAATCAAAAACTTCTATTCATTTTTTCACACCTATACAGGGTGTTCCAGAAAGACCTCCCGTAAATACAGTTTATCTCCTCTTGTTTTCAAGATATAGAACGACAAAATAAATTTTTTAAAATAGAATTTTTATGAAAATTTCCAAACGGTGCGAAATATTTTTATTAAATTTAGTATTCCAGGATTTTTAAGAATGTCAAATACGCTGGTTATGTTTTGAATATTTCATAGAGGGCGCTAGTTATGCTACATTCCTTTTACATTTTAAGTTCTAATATTTTTAAGGTTAGGTTTTTTACCATTCGGGCTCCAATTTTTTATGTACAATTTTATTTTCTAAAAATAATGTACTCTTATTAGAACTTCCTAATGTGGACAGTTTTCGAGAAAAAGGGCTTTTATTTAAACTCTTACATTATGGTGTATAAAATAAGTGACTTTTCTCAAAGTAGGCTTATGTCAAAACTTATTGATGGATGCCTCATAAACAACGCATACATTCTTAGTAATATTTTAAACTCTAATTAACTTTATATCAAAATTTTAGTGACTGTAATTAGTCATTACTAACTACGATCACTAAATTTTTTATATAAGGTTAATTAGAGGTTAATATATTACTGAGAATGTATGCGTTGTTTATGAGACATCCATCAATAAGTTTTGACATAAGCCTACTTTGAGAAAAGTCACTTACTGTACACCGTAATATTGTAAGAGTTTAATTAAAAGCCTTTTTTCTCGAAAACCGTCCACATTAGGAAGTTCTAACAAGAGTATATTATTTTTAGAAAATAAAATTGTACATTAGAAATTGGAGCCCTAATGGTAAAAAACCTAACCTTAAACAAATTGGAACTTAAAATGTAATAGGAATGTAGCATAACTAGTGCCCTCTATGAAATATCCAAAAAATAATTAGACCGGGGTAGTTGGCAGCCTTAAAAATCCCGGAAAACCAAATTTCATAAAAATATTCCGCACCATTTTTATAAAAATTTTATTTTGTCGCTCTGTATCTCGAAAACAAGAGGAGATAGACATATAGTTCATATGACAAAAAGTTCTTATTTTTTGTCGTACTATCACCCTTTGTATTTACGGGAGGTCTCTCTGAAACACCCTGTATATGAAAAATTTTACACAAAGAAATTAATTATTCCAAATAATTGAGGGGAAAAAATAGAATTATTAGAAAATTGACATCATGTCTATCTACCTGTATTTAAAATGTACCAAGGTGAGTTATTTACAATCATCGATGACGTTATAATCATTAACTATTGTTAGAATAATATTTATTACTGTACGTACTAATGATTCTAATTCAGGATGATTGTTTCATAAAATAGATATTTAAGAAATAGGACCCTCGATAAGTCAAATGCTTGAGTGTTATATAAATATATCATAAATCATTTTTTAAAATATTTATGACTGGTTTGATGTTTATTACCCTTATTTTATATTACATTCTAGGGAATTCCATCAGAGAATTCTATGCAAAATTTTAAATTTTAACCAAAAATTTTCCTAATCTGAAAAAAATTTTCCAGGAGAAAATGTTCTATATACTTAGTCTCCATTTGTCAGCACCATTTTCCAAACTTATTTGTTTGTATCTCCTACATAAATATTATACAATGACCGTTATAAAGTTTGCACCTTGTTTTCACCGAATGGGAAACATGTTTGTTTGATTTAAAAAGAAAATCCAATAATTTTTATTTGTCTGAATAGTAAATAAGGACAACCTTAGCCAGCCAAAATTAAAAAATTATATTTTTCAAAAAATTGTAGAATTTATATCGGTCGGAAGATGATTAATTTGTGAGATACAGGGTGTTCAAATTTAAATTCCTGAAAAAAATTTTGTTAATACATACAGGGTGTCCCAGGATATGTGGGCAATCTCCCGGATGTACACAGGGGACGTTAAAATAACATGACAAGTTCTTATAAAAAATTTTCCTAGAGGGTCCCCCAACAGAAATGCAAGCTCCTAGAGGGCGCCCCTGAAAATCGAATACCTTGTGTAATTTAATTATTTTTTAATACGATGGACAACAGAGGATCCAACAATCTTCAATTCACAAAGCTAGGGAATGCATAACATTAGAAGGAACTCATGTTGAACCGACATACAAAATGATGTAATACAAATCATATTGAACAAAAATAGTTTTTTCTCGAAAACAGTTCATTTTATTGATATCAAGAGTGCCTTTTTTAGTTTAAGCTATCTAAAAATATTATTTTTGTGCCTTTATCGCAAAAATTGACATTATTATTATTATAGCTAGTCCGTGCCTGACAAAGCAAATGAGCCAAATTGTTTTCATGGGTCAATTTTTAATAGACAAGGCGAAATGGGCGGCTTCGTATGAAAAAATTAGTGGATTCGATTTTTTTGCATAATCACATCCGTGAGATGTCTCTGAATGAGGATCAAAATGTTACCGGCCGGTAACCTGGTCACAATTTTTTTAAACTAATTTTTTTAAACAAATTGCAAAAACAAATTGCAATAATAATATACGTTTGCAATTATGCTCTTAATACGTGTAGTTTAAAGACATCAGAAGTACATGAAATATTTCCTAAGTTTATACCCATTCCACACGTTCGAGAAAAAATATTTAACCTACAGCGGCGCGGGAATTTCATTGCGATATTCGCAAATTCAAAATTAGATATTATTTAAGTAAAGTAGATATATTATTATTGTTATTATTATTATTATTGTTACTGTTTAGAAATTTATAATATCAATAAACAAATAATAATGTTAATAAATAAAAATTCAGCATTGCTAAAATGTATCAAAAAGTGAGGTGATGAATATATACACGAGGTCGGCGCAGAGTGGCGTGCCCGAGCGGTGTGGCGCGCAAGTCAAAATGTATATTGTTAATAGGTAAAATAATACGCATTGCAATGTAATTACACTAAATAACTCCTCGGTATTTTGTCAAGGGATGTTTAAAAATTACTTTTAAACTTTAGTAACATCAAAAACTTGATTTTTTGTTATTGTTTTTGAGTCTTGAAAATGGCCGTTTTTGCATTTTTTCGTACATTAAATTGTTTATAACTCAGAAACCGTTGATTTTAGGAGCATAGTGCATAGGAACTATTTTGTTTAGAATACGCAGAAATACCTAATAAAACTGGAACTTTTTCTGGAGCAAAACAAGTTATTTTTGCAATTTGTTTAAAAAAAATTAGTTTAAAAAAATTGTGACCAGGTTACCGGCCGGTAACAGTTTTGATCCTCATTCAAGGACATCTCACGGACGTGATTATGCAAAAAAATCGAATCCACTAATTTTTTCATACGAAGCCGCCGATTTCGCCTTGTCTATAAGGAGTCTTATCTGTTGTCCATTGTATTAAAAAATAATTAAATTACACAAAGTACCTATTTTAAAAATTATTAAAAAAAATCAATTTTCAGGGGCAACCTTTAGGAGCCTCTGTATAGGGAGGCCCTCTAGAGAAAATTTTTATAGGAACTTGTAATGTTATTTTAACATCTCCTGTATAAATCCCAGATATTGCCCATATTTTGTGGGACACCTAGTATATCCAAAACACCTAAGACATACATAACTGAATACTAGTTAGAGTCAATCAAGGATGACATTTTATTATTTAATTGTTGCTCAAACTGCTTAATAATAAATACTATATGTAATTAAATTTAGTTACTGATTCAAATAACTAACGAATTTTATATAATTTGTACTCGTAAATGGATAAATTAAATAAAAAGTTTTAAGTCAAGTCTTAAGTAAATGTGACGACCTTACAATAAAAATTAATAACTGTATCATTGAGAATGACGCTTTAGGCAGTATTAAATTCTGGAAATTTATTTTGACGAAACCCTTAATTGGAAAGTGCATTGCAACCATCTCGTTTCCACCTTGAGTTCAGTAAATTTTTTATTTAAAAACATAAAAACAATTTTAGTCAAAAATCAAATAATCAATTTATATTACGCACAAGTAGAATCGCTTTTTCGTTATGGTGTCTGTTTCTGGGGTGATTCCACCCTCTCACATTCTGTTTTTATTTCACAGAAGCGTATTTTGCGCAATATTGCTGGTGTACCCAGTGAACATACCTGTATAGATATTTTTAAACTACAAAATTTTAACTTTAAGTTCATTGTTTATATTTGATGTGTATTTATGTTTTTAGAAATAGGCAAAAATTTTATTTAAGTAGGGACATACATGGTGTAAATACAAAGCATAAAAATAATATTCAGTACATTTTTCTAAATTGTCAATTACCAATAAGTCACCAAATTATTGGGAGTCTAAAATTTTTAATAAATTACCTGTTGAATTAAGTCAAGATAAAGTATCTTTTTATCAATTTAAAGTAAAGTTAAAATTATATTTAGTGACCAAATGTTTTTATTCCTTGGATGAGTTTTTTGCTTCCTAGGTTAAGTTACATTTGTTTTTACTTTAAATATTTGCTATACACATAACTGACTATTGTTATACAATTTGTAATTGTTGCAAAACAAAATAAAACATCTAATCTAAATGAAAAAATATCATATCAAGAAAAATGGGGCAAAATTTCACTTAGGCTTCCTATTTTTTCTTATAAAGGAAACCTGTGTAAATATTCATTTGTTTACTTTGTTTCGGAAAAGTGCATTTTCCAACGTTTTTCTGTCACTAGATAAAGTTGGGTATATACTACAATTCAGGATACATAATAAAAATGGAAATGGGAAAGTTAACAGAATAATTTAATGGCATTCAGCAATAGCGTATTGTAAATAAAGACCGACTACAACTCGAATTTTTAAATTTTTTAGGAAAAGAAATCATTCCAGATCTATGAAATTTTTTTAAGTTTAGAATTAGCCTCTATTGCTCGGATAAAATATAAACTTAACATATCACTAAAAATGGGACCCCCTTAGAATTTAAATTTTGATTTTCTCTCGAATTACTAATCTGATGTATTTTTTTTATTATATTTATTCTTCAGCAATTTTTATTAAAATTAAAATAATCCCTGTAACATATGCTGACTAAAATTACATGCATCTATTTGACGTATACGGCTACATTTAAAAGGACCATTTAAACAGGACATTTAGAAGATATGAAAATAAAAACATTAGGCGCAGTATTGGTAGACAGCTTAGAAACCATCATCGTCCGTGTTCCGCCCTTGAACATACTGAAAATGTGCTCAGAGAAATATAGAATAGATCAAGAAAAAATCAATGTCTGCTTTCAAATGTGTCTTAATAATGTGAAGTCTTCATAAATGTTTACAAGCCACGTAACTGCCGAGCTTAGGCAACCAACATTGCAGTGCTGATGCTAGTAACGAAAATTCCCTAAATATTGGTGTCACCAATATTAATGATTCGTTTACAGTGAAGAATGACAAACCGTTACGCCTACGCTCAAGATAATGTAATCGCTGATTGGTTGAATAGAATTTCACCAATCGCAGGCGGTGAAACAGAATGTTGTGTTCTCATGTAATCTCGATTTTATTGCTTGAATTTTACTGAAATTTAATTGGCAATGTTAAGGAAATAAAATTACGGTTCCAAACAAAATTACTGGTCACATGACTTGTAATCATTTATTAGTAGATTAGTAGAGATTATACCTCGCGGTAGAAATTATAGAGAGTGACTCAGACGTAATATAAAAACACTATTACCATAACGCCTATAAAATATAAAATGATTTTTATAACAGTTCAATATTATTTGTCTTGTATTAAATGATGTGCCGCTCTCTACGCATCGATAGAATCTATAATTGTCTATAGACTGAGTTACACTGAATGTCGATCTATATTCTATCTCTGTCTTTTGCATTTGGTAGAGAATAGGAAAATCCTTTTTTGGTGGGTGTAAATGGACTTGATTTAGCCGTCCTTGGAAGCACCATACCATAAACGTAGGTGAGGGGTCTAATTTCGTGGCTATAATAAATTTATAAATAAAAAAAAAAACATATCTGGACGTTTTAAATCGTTGTAATAATTAAAATGGATCAAAGTGCCCTTTGCAAACCGTCAAAAATATTAGATGTTATGTTTTATTATCTTTTTTCCATATTTTCTATATCTTTTTGCCTTTTATGCAGATACGCCAGTGGCTTTTTTTGTTTCCCGCACGCTTCATCCTCCTCACTAGTCCAAAAACTAGCGATGAGTCACTCTATAATTTCAACTGCGGAGTATAAATCTATTTTTTTTGTTTTTGGTTTTTTCAACTCATTTATCTTGTTACTGATTTTTTTCTGTTGTAAGTTTTTATGTATTTACAATAAACTGATGCTTTTGAATTTAACTGTGTATCTCAATGAATAACAAAGACAGCAACATGATTCAAAAAACAAATCGTTCGGAAAAAATGGGATTAATCAAGGAAGACATGCATTATTTTACCTGATATACAACTGTTGATTCTGATATGCTGAAAACCGAAGTTTTAATAAAAAATTTTATTTTAGAATTATTACTAAGGAAAATCTCTTTTGAAATTGAGGCCCGTTTTTAGCAATGCATTAAATTTGTTGTTAAGTGTGCTTCAATGATCAAATATGTACATTTTTAGACTCGTAGCTTATTTAATAATTTTTATTTCTAGGTGTTGTGCTATCGAGCCTAAGAGTCGTCCAACATTTACGGAGAATGTTCGTACGTTAAGTGATATTTTGACTGATATGAAAATGGCGGCCGAGAAAGAAGCCAGGATGACGAACTGCGCAGCTAAAAGCGAGGAACAACTCCCCGTCCTATCCATCCAATCGTGCGTTCCTCAACACCGTAAAAGTACGTATACTGCACTTAAAAGTTTTAAGTGGTACAAGAGCTTTTTTCTTGACTGTTTGCTTTATTGCAGCGAGTTTAATTTGTTTAAACCTGTTTATAGAATATATAGTGACGTAGATGTTCAGTGTAATTTTTTATAATTTTAATAAATGGCTTTCTTTTTAATGCTGTTTTAATGTGTTGCATGGTGTGGTAGCAGGGGGTAAATATAACTGCCAATAGTTTTTGTTCTTTTTCGATGTGGATACGTCTAATAAACTCGTTCATAAAATCAGGGTGGGCAACATCTGGTTGATGTTGGCACGAAGAAATATTACAGGGTTCGTAGCGCCCTGGAATGCCGGGAAAAATTAGGAAATTCATTATTCTTTATAAAAAACAGGGAATTTTAAAAGTATTCATGAAAGTCAGGGAATTTGATGTTTGCAACTGGAAATTTTGTGGAAGCCGGTCCTGGGTTCTTGAAAGAGAAAAGTATTTGTGGTTTTGAAACCTTTATAAGAGGTTCTTTGGGTATAAAAAAAATATGGGGTCCAGTCTAGGAAAAGTTTAATGCATAAATACCAATTAGTGTGTAAAAATGACCTACAAGTGCCCTCAATTTTTTTTATGTCAGGGAAAACCCGGAAAAGTCTTCTATATTACTTTTGAACTAAGAACCCTGTATTGTTTCAAATAATTTTTGCACAAAAAAAATCAAAAGGATATAATAATACTGGGTGTCCCACAAATAAGGGCCAACATTTTAACATATTTAATTAATGAAAAATAACTCGTGTCTAATATACAGAGTGCCCCAGAATATGTGCGCAATTTCGGGTTTATACAGGAGACGTTAAAATAACGTGACAAGATCCTCTTAAAGTACTTTGTGCAATTTAATTATTTTTAGGAAAAAACAAATATAAATAAAAGTAGCATTTTTTTAAATTTTGTGTCTGTCGTAAAGGGTGTAAAAAAAATTTACATTATTGTGCTACAGCTAGTCCCTGGCAAATGAAATAAGCCAAATTGTTTTCAAGGGTCAATTTTTAAAGAATCTTGCCTGTTCTCCATCGTATTAAAAAATAATTCAATTACACGAAGTATTTTAAAAAAAAAATGATTTTCAGTCGCGTCCTTTAGGGACCTGTAACTTCTAGGGGGGGGGGGGCCTCTAGGGAAAATTTTTATACTTGTCATGTTATTTTAACATCCTCTGTATAAATCCGAGAGATTGCCCACATATTCTGGGACGCCCTGTATATTAGACGAGTTATTTTTGATGAATGAATATGAGGTTAAAACTTTGGCCCTATTCATTTTTCTTTGTACAAAAATTATTTGAAATAATGCAGGGTTCATAGTTCAAAAATAATAATAAACCCGACAGATTGCCCACATATTCTGGGACACCCTGTATACATTTTTTAAGTCTTACATCTTTGTCTAATATTATTTACTCCTATATTGGATATAACGATGGAATTTGGAAGTCCCGATTTAATCCTATATAAATACCATATTAAAAATATCGTTTACCATGACAAAATACGGCCTTAAAACCAATGCACCGCTCTTCCGCACGCTCACGATTTTGACACCAGTTAGTACGTTTGGGATAAATTACGACTTATCTACGCACACAGTTATATGAATTAATTACCGCTTTCTATAACGATGTCGAAGAGAAAAGTGTTTAATAAAGAAGAAAAATCACATATAACATAGAGATTAAAAAACGGAAAAATTAATGCAAGCAAGTAAAAGAATGTGGCGTGTCATAACTACGATTTCAATAATTTGGAAGGATAGAAATAAAGTAGTCTCTATTCGTTAACAATTCATTGAAAACGAAGCGCGCGAGATCTTTTGAACACAAAGCAATACATGTACATACTTAAAGACTTGTATTGTAAATTTATCATTTTTTCTATAAAAATTTTAAATAAAATATATGTAATTGCTTATTACGTCTATCGGTTATAACAACCGTAAACAAACGTTCCCTTGAAGATCGTTATAACCGATTTTCACTGCATCTAAGTAACTTACATGAATGTTTTGTGCGATGATGTAATTTCTCCGGAAAACAACATAAAGAAAAATAATAAGCACCTTTTTTGTGGTCTATATGCTGGATATCGTAGTACTAATTATGTTCCAATATAGGCTTTCTTACCCGAAAAACTTAATTCAAAAAAAGACTAGTCGATTTTCTTTTTATCGCTTACACATATTTGCAAGATCAACGACGGTTTTATTCAGAATCATAGATAGCGTTGTGGATAGGCCTACTTGGTCATATATCGTGTACTTGAAATTGGCAATTTTAAAGATGGAAATGTGTGCAATACAAAAAGAAACGAAGTTGTTCAATGAGAGAGTGGTGTAGGAAACGGGAAGAGGATTTCCATTTGAAATTATTAATTTTAAGTCTTATGAGAATGCAGATTTTTTTTGTCTTTCCGCTTAGAATGCACAACAATTGTATAAATAGGAAACTGATATCTAAGGAACCGTATGGCAGCTCTTGGAAATCGATTAGGTACTTGTAGGATACATAATTTATAATAATTCTCCTTCAAACTGCTGTCGTTGACTAACTTAACCTCCATATGCGTGACACCGGCACCGCCGCGGTATTATTTGAAATTCGCAGGTGTGATATATGATGTATATTTCAAGCTTAGGCATCCAAACAAGCAGAATGATCAAACGCGAGCGACCGAACGCCAAGCCGAGCACGCCAGCCAAGTGCAACGTTGCCAAATCTAAAGGCTTACTACATTAGTCACTAGCGAATCTACAGAAACTCTCATTTGACTTTAGACGTACCTGATAAACCTCCTTGAGGGCCACACAGATTTCGTTCAATTCGCGCGAATTGGGCAACACAAATCTATACGAAAGTGCCAGGTACACAGTGTGTGGAGAAAAAAGTGATACGGTTTCACCGTCGTGCAAAATCTGTTTCAGTTAGATATTGTGGCCTTTCTTACTTCACACGATTTAGTCCGTACGGTCCTGTTGGCACGAATAGACCAAGTCTGTGGGGGCCCTTCAAGTTACATCCTCTATATATATGAAGAAATTATCATAATTCTTTAAAATATTTTGTTTTATAAAAGAAAAATAAATTCCAACTGAAAATGTATTGCTTTTATTTAAACAAAAGAGAAAACGTATTTTGTACCATCAGTTTCATATTTTTAGCACAATAAAATTTGTTTCAAGATCCTTTTTATATAACAAAACATCTTTTCTAATCTCCTGTTTTTTTTATCCATCTTTATTTTTAAAAACATCCATAACTAAATGTGTGAAGTCAGTTTTAAATTTAATATAAATAATTCACTTGCGAAAGCATGTAGGAATATTCGTAACATACCTGGCTTGTTGTGAATATTTTGCCCAATAACTTGCACAATTTTGCAAAATGAATTCATCACAAGTTCTTAAGTATTGGGGCATAAGCATGTGTTATAACCACCTAGGTCCTTTTTTTGTATAATAAATTGATTCTATATTCTTACATTTAGAACATCACATTTTATATCTGCATTTCTATTTCAGTTGTCCACCGACGGTCGTTGTCAGAGGACGTATCGATGCTGGCGATTTCTATGTACGCCACGCCTAGCGATAAGGCTCGCCGCCACGCCCTCATAATGTGCCGACAGGATCCTCACTACAAACCGCGTACCACTAACCCGTTCGCCGCGCTCACTCACTTCCACGGCGTGAAAAAGTTCCTTGGCAATTTCTCTTCTTGCTGCGAGATGCCGTCGAGTTTCATCGAATCGACAGAATCACCAAAGTCTCTACCCGGCTCACCCACCGCATCGCGGAAGGCCGCTACAATGCGGTCCCCACTCTTCGTACACTCCCTGTGCAAGGGAGGTTCTAGTTCTAATTTGACGGAGTTTTGCACAAACGAAATTCCTAGTACTGGCCTCAGACGTAGAGGTTCCTGCGAATCCGGCTTCTACTCTAGCGTGGGGGAGTGTCTCTCGCCTAGCAGCTTGTGGGGCGACAGCGGAACCGCTGTGAGTTCCATAAGATCGTTGGATGAATTGGAACCCGCTGAGCTCCACGCGCTTTGTAAAAGAGCTTCTTCAATTTGTACCGATAGCAGCGAAGACATATCTAGCTTGACCGGCTCGGACTGGACCCAAGATTTAAAACCCTCTAATATAATGGATATCGTTAACTATTTCGAGAAGAAGGGTGCGTCTTTAAGGCATCCCGGGGGCGTCAGGGGCAGCTTGCAGCTTAGTTCAAGAATAGCAGCTTTAAGGAGATCCTTAGAAAAACATACTAGTTCAACGGGGGCCTCGGGCTCCAATTCACATTTGACGCCCCAGCGGCCCAAGTGTTCTAGGCTCGTTGTGTGCGAGGGTGCTGTGAGATCAAAGTTGCCTCTTTTTGATAAAAAGTAGGCCAGTCTTCCTTGTTTTGTTTTTCTTCTAGTCAGATCGTACACGTCTAAAGGGAGTTATTAATCGAGGCCTAAGTGATGCTGTATTTAAAAAAAAATGTCTATATTTTATACTCAGATTGTATATATTTTAAGGAATTACTCTAAAAGTGACGCAATTCAATTCCTCAGTTGGTTTGAATCATTTGGGTAGTATTCCACGAGACTGCTTCGCAAGTTATAACAATTTATTTTTAGGGCTTAAAAATATTGGCCATGTGTAATATATTCTGCACTTTTGTTTGACGATTTTCAAAATAATATTAAATGTAGGTATAGGACAGAGGAAATATTAGCTAAATCGTGGCAACTCTTTCATAAACTTAGTGTACGTGCATAGGTAACTTCGAAATATTAAAGAATATTTTTCAAGTAAATATTTCATAAATTCTACAAATAAAACCGGAAGTCATATATTTTGATTAGATTATTTTGATTGTTATCCTCATTCATTAAACATATTTTCGGCAGCTCCTTCATATTTCTCTTTGATTGCTTATTATTGTAAATATTGTATATGGCCAAATATTTTAATTTAAAAGTAGTCATAAAAGGTGCTTTTTGTTGTTTGTTTCATATTTTTTGTAAAAAAGTTATGAATAAATATATTTCCTCAATTTTTTTTGTAATTTAAAATTACAAGGATAAAATAAATTGTTAAAACTACATTTAATTATTCTACAGAGAAAAAATGGGGTTAGTATTATGTGATTGAATGATCGAGTTATATTTTAAATTGGTTAATTGTTATTAGTTCTGTTTTAATGAAGGTGACCGTCCAACTGATGTATTAAATAATCGTGAGATGTATTATTTTTTATTTATGATTTAGTTTCCTTGTTGAGCAAGCAAGTATTAATACAGTTTGTAACGGTCTGTTGTAATCTTCCACAATGTCTTGTCAATAATATGTATACAAGTTGTTTAGAAATTAAATAATTTTTCATATCAAGTCTTGTTTATTTATCTACAACAGTATCCTAAATTGTAAGTACTTTTACGTTTTGCACATCCTTGACTACAGTGAAAAAATAAACAATTAAATATTTTTACTACAATCCTTGATTTTAGTTTTTAATACAGTATGAAAAAGATGACTTTTCACATTTTAGTAATTAATTTCTGGTAACATTTCCTTGAGAATCACACAAAACGTCACAGGTAGTTTTGAATGTTTTCAAGAAATAAAATACATATAAGGCTTTAATTGTATCTACTTCAACTGAATAAGATTTAAATTATATACAAAATTTTACATAAAAAAAACTAATATTTAAAATAAATCACCAATATGGTGACCTTAAAAATGTAGTTATTAACACGTGTTATAATATTCTCTCGAGTATCAGTCTGTTTTTAGTCTCTTAACGGCCACCATCTCACTTCCTTGAGAATTTGAGTCTTCAGAAAACGTCATGTGAGATGAGGAAAAATCTGTGGGTCCTTGTGAGTCGCTCACAGTGGAAAAACCTAAATAAATAACCTTCAGTCTACAATGTGATCCACATATAAAAGTAGGTTATATCGAATCATTCCTTTTTAATAAAAACGGTTTTAAAATACTTACAAGTGTTGGAATCTTCCGCCAAACTAAAATTCGAGTTGGAATTAGACGAGTCCACTGCATTTTTCCTTGCCATATTTTCTTTATTCTCTCTATGTTTTAAAGATTTTTTAGGATCACCACTCGTAACAGGAACCCATTTGTATATTTTCATGGTCGTATCTCCAATCGTAACCCATTTTTTCTCCCTATAATTCATGTAAGGAACTCATTTGAAAACTACTATTCATGTTTTCGTTACATACCAATGTCGGACCCGATCTATAACATTCATAACTTTTTTAATGTCATCCTTGGCTCTGCTGCGGGTCTCAGCTCTAATAGATCGAGACATTTTTCTTTGATATATATTTTAATTATAATCGCGGGTATGAAATCTTAGATATTGTACCATAAGTATACTTTTGAAGTCACTTCCCAAAGTAAAGAACGGCCATTTTTTAATCTGTTGACATCACGTATTTCACATTTGACATTCTCAGTAACACCAATAGCATGAACATGATGCAAACATTGTAAACCAAATGTCCCAAGTTGAAAGCTGCGTTTGAATAATGTTTTTATAATTTAGGTAACTTGTTTTATCGTCACCTACGAATGAACGTTTCGAATTGTTCATTTAGTGCAAATCACCTTCTCTGTAATGCAAATGTGCATGGTGTATGAATTCGTAAATTGGAGTAGTCGCATTAGCCATGTTGTTTTCCGAAATTTAGAAACATAAGTGTATTTTTTAGATATTCCATTATTTAGAAAACAGAAAGTAGTTACATGGTATTATCAACAATAATGAAATCTATTGACATAACTTGTAAGCATTAAGAATATTATTAGATTTAAAAATCCCTGACTATTATGGCGTAGATAGTACCACAAGTCACAAACACTTTCCCGCTTCCTGGAATACTAACGTCTCTCCTGTCCTTTTTCTTTCTCATATTTTGTAATGGAATATTGTTTTTCTGTTTCTGTCTATCACGGTTGTGTCTGTGGTTCCAATTTAGTATTAAATCATGGCTGATTCTGTTGAGTTGCGTATGAGTGTTACTTCTATAAAACGAGTGGATCCATATGTTAAAGACATTTTAGCAAGTGCTACACAAGTTGCTTTGTACATTTTCAATATCTCTACGAACGAGTGGGAAAAGACTGATACAGAAGGTGCGTTATTCATCTATAGGAGAAATGGGGAACCATTTCATAGCATTATGATCGTGAACCGCCGTAACACTAATAATGTGATTGAACCGATAGTAAAAGAATTTGATTATCAGATGCAAGTACCTTTTTTGTTGTACAGGAATTCTAAGAATAAAATATTTGGTATTTGGTTCTTTAACAGGGAAGAGTGTATTCGTATAACATTTCTTTTAGAATCTCTAATGGAAGGCCTTAAGGATAAAACTGACGAGAAGTCAAAGCGAAAAAGCAACAATGTTGACATTTTCAGCATGTTGTCAAAAGCTCAAGAGAACTTCAATAAAACCCCTTCAAAACAAGATGGACCTCCGACATTTTCTTCAACTCCAAGAGTGCCAGACGGTACTTCTCAAAGTGTTATGGACTTTTTTGCAAAAGCTAGCACTAAGAGTACCAAAAAACCCAGTGTACCAGGAGAAAACGGTGAAAATGTGTTGCAAAGGCTTATGTCAAACCCCGCTCATAGCGTAGAACATATAGAAAAGCAACAACGTTCAATAACTCCACATGAACAAGTCAATGCGAGACAGAAGTTTGTTAACTCGGATAGAAGAAGTGTGCCTATATCATTTCCTGGAACAAGTACCGGAGATAAAAGGAATCAGTCGGAAAATGGAATCTCCTTAGTTAACCCCCTTATACAAGGTCCTTCACCATTATCATTTCTACTTCAGAGTCAGGCACAAGCACAGTCTGAAAAGGAAGAGCCTCTGGATTTGCTTGGAACATCCCCATTCGCTCAATTCTTAGACAGTTCTCAAAAACCACATCTGATGACGCCTATGATGTTTACGACAACTAAGCCAAAAGAAAAGGTAGACAACACTCCATATGGCAGCTTCGTAGATGACAAACAAGAACAGGTAGATTTATTGACTGAAAAGCAACTAGCACAGGCTCTGATATATTTGTTAAAGAATAATACCGAATTTACAAAACAAATTCACGAAGCCTATGTGCAGTCTATAATGCAAAGAGTTAATCTAAACAGTAATACATAAATCATTTCTGTAATTTATTACCTATTAAAGTTTTATTTCTCTGGACATTGTTGATAAGATAATTGTAATATATATATATATTGACTAATGGAAAAATATTTTTGTTTTTTAATATATTGGACGTGATTCCGAGTTGAATTTTAATTTTGTAAATAATTAAGTGCATTCAAATATTCAGAACCGGGCAGTTGAATTCATTGTTGTTTATGTAATTTAGGGATGGATATTAGAAGCAATGTATTATGCTTCCTCATAAAAGTAACCAATTTTACTGTGTATATTTAAAGTATACTGTTGCATATGATGTTTAAGCATCTGTTTATTGGAAAATCCATAATGGTTCTATAATTAGAAAACGTTTGTAGGCAGGTCAATAATTCCAGTATATATGTATTTAGTATATGACCCAGAATTATTTTTTAAACAGTAATATGATTTTTGTTTGATGTTTATTTTTTTTTTTCATTTTTGGCAATACTGATAGATTTTATTTTTCTCAATTCAATTCTATAGTAATTAAAATGTTTACATTTAAATTTCGGAAGGTCTGTAATGAATTCCTACCAAAGAAAACGCTGCTTAGCTGACTACATGACTTCATTATACTAGTAGTGGTGATTGAAAAAGGTTAACAACCCCATTTTAAAATAAAATTAGTCAACTAATACCTGATTTCCGGTTGTTCTCGTTTTGAATTCTATAATCTGTTTCCTTTAATAGCAACGGTGGCAGCTGGTGAAAATTAAAGATGTATTATAACAAGAAAGGATTGGACACATACTGTTTTTTTTTGGATGATTTCTAGGCCCACGTAGAGAATTTTTTGAAAGTTCCAAAACGAAATAAAAAATTAAAATAAGGGTGGCTGAACAAATTTCAAAAGGACTTGCAGGTATATTTACATAAAATTTTTCTACAATTAACTGATGGATACAAACGGGTGCGTACTTACTTGGAAAGTGGAATCTTTCAGTATCAAATTAAAATTTAAATAGGTGCGACTAGAAAGAAAATTTGATTTTGTGAAAAATAAAAAACCATATATTCATATTTAAATTTTATTACCAAATTCTGTTCATATATGGGCTTAGAAATCATTCCCTAAAACATGGTGTGGGTTCATGAGTTATTATAAAAATATGACTATTTTAAACTTCACCACCACCAACCGGAATAGTCACATAATAATGTCCACAATATAATGTTATAATTTATCAAGCCAGATATTGGCTAACTCTTGTTCCACTATTTAACAAAGAGCAATATCGCTAAAGCACTAGAGGGTATCATTTGAATTTCAGTAAAAGTAAGTAGAATGTTTATATGAAGATTAATCTTAATTGTTTAAATATCCAAAGCCTTCATAAATTATTACAAGCCATGTGACCAGTAATTTTGTTTGGAACAGTATTATTATTATTAATTATTTTATCTCCTTCATGTTAGCAATTAAATTTCAGTAAAATTATAACAAGATCAATTACATTAAAACATTCTGTTTCACTGGCTGTGATTGGTGTGATTTTCCACGAGATTCTGTTCAACCAATCAGCGATCACATTGTCTCGAACGTAGGCATAGCGGTTTGTTACTGTTCATTGTAAACGAATCATTACTATTGCTGGCGCCAAAATTGAGGGATTTTTCGTTGCCAGTACAAGTCGTGCAATGTTGGCTCGGCAATCTGGTCACGTAGCTTGTAAACATTTATGAAGGCTCTGTATATTGTATAACACATTCAGTTTGAAGAATGGATTACAACAATGCAGGTGGTCCATAAAAATTTTAACTGTTGCGACAATTTTTCCACTAGATTAAATGTTTTAAAGATAATTATGGGCGAAAATATTTAAAAACTGTTGTATTAAAAATGCATTCAGTCGCTCATTTTTGTTACTTTTTATTTATTTATTACATACTGTAAAATTGTACAAGTACTGTGGAAGTGATATTTACAAATTGTATATTTTGTCATAGTTTGAAACATTTTTAATTAAATGTACGATTTTAGTCGGTGATTTTCAATAAAATCCATGGCAAGTTGTTCTTTTTATTTGTAAAAATCCCTAATTTTAGAGGTAATTTTGTTCATATTTTCATCATTTGAGGGAGGAGCAAGGACGATACCACACCACCAAAAAATATACATGTAACGTGCGGAAACTATGATTTCTGGGGTGTATGGAGTACCCCATGACCTTTGCCAGTGATTGGTTTAAGATGATTGCAAATTTTTTTTTAAACAGAATTCTCCAGTGTTTATTTCATTTTTGAATTTAACATAAATTTCTGAATATATTTCATACCTTATATCTCAGCTGAAATGTTTTGGAGAAAATCACAGTTTAATTGTGAATCTTTGAACATTCTACATAAGGTTCTACAAGAATTCAGATATTCTCAAAAAAGTTAATGGAGGTTAGTCAATTTGAACAAATATTGAAATAATTTGTTTTACGCAATTTATTAATATTTTCTACATTGTTTTCGAATCAAAAAATGTACTGTAAATGCTGAATATTTCTCTACTTAATAGCTCAGGAAGAGACTGTCCTTTTCCTCCAGGTTAATTCTCATCTTTATGTCATCGCTCATATGAAGGATGGCTGCTCTCTCCCATTAAGAATTTTTTACGATGCCTTTGGCTCTTTAATATATAGAAAAACGATTTGTAGTTTTTTTTTGTTATTAATAAATTATATGTTGCATTATTAATTGTATGTTAATGGTATCAAAACTAGGTACTACACCACGTATTTTCAATAAACGGCAATGCCTCCTTGGGAATCAACTCCCACTAGTCTCAGCGGTATTCAAACTGTGTTCCACGGAACCCTGGGGTTCCGCACAACCTCTCTGGGGGTTCCCCGACTCAGTCAAAAATTTAAAATTTTATTATCGATAATTAGAAAATTCAAAAAATGTAATATATTCTCTTATATATTATGCAATTGCAACTTACGACAATAGCACCTGATTTTAACATATCTAAAAATATTCAAGCACATCCCAGTCTTTGATTATACAGTATACTTACTCTTTTTTTAATTACTCGATAAATATTTGCTTTAACTTTAAAGTCTTACTTTAATTTTTACTTAGTGCAATATTTATTTTGTTAATTGTAGTACATATTTATAAATATATTAAATAATCAGTAAAAAATGTGTTTGAAAATTTTTTTTAGGTATAGGGGTCCTTGAAAAAAGATGTTGGCGGGTTTCTGCAAGTCGTAAAAGTTTGAAGACCGCTGGCCTATGATTTTCGAGAATTTTCTATGATAAATTGATACAGAAACAAAAAGGCTTTATTGTACAATATGTTTACAGGTAGTACGTATAGTGAATTTTTTCAAATGATTTGGTTTCAAAATGGCGGCTGGAAGTGACGGCAAGCAACAGCGTCTCTTTTAAAGAAGGCTGTATGGCTGTAAAATATTTTGAGATACAGGGTGTTCTGAAAGTCCGTCAGGAAACTCCGAGAATTTGTAATGTAATTTTTTTTTCGAATTGTCAATTGTTTGCAAGTTACAGCTTGTCAAAGTTCAATTTTTTTTATTTTTCTATTTAAATAACTTATTTAATTCAAGTTCGATTAGTTTCTCATTTGGCTTGGCACACTTACTAAGTAGATGAAGCTCTATTGGACCAATCAGAGAAAAGTTTCATTATGCGCCGCTAGAGGGCACTTTACCTAGAATTCAAAATTTGTTCATAACTTTTTTCTCTTGCTATACATCACAAAAATATTTTTGATAATTTTTTCTGCAATTAATCAAGTTGCCATGCTGTAATACCATCTCTTGTAAAACCAGCTTCGTTAGTAAATTCATTATCCTTAGCTTATTTTTCCACATTATTATAGAGCCGAACAAAAATTTATTATGGTGAAAAATCAAACATACTTGCTTTAAACAATTTTTATTACAATTCGTAACACCAAAATTACTAATGATATTTATTTGAAGTATGACAACTTGATTAATTACAGAAAGAATTATAAAAAATTTGATGTTTAAATATTAATAGCGATTTTCTGGTAAAGGGTTACATTTAGCGGCTTAAACAAAAAGTATATAATTTTTTCTGATATTGTTTCTCTTCAATAATGTTTTAATTTCTCGGATGTCTAGCAAGAGAAAAAAGTTATGAATAAAAAAAAATTTTGAGTTCTAAGTAAAGTGCGCTCTAGCGGTGCATAAGGAAAAATAGAAAAATAAAAAAAAATTGAACTTTGACAAGCTATAACTTGTAAAGCTGTAACTTGCAAACAGTTGACAATTCGAAAAAAAAATTTCATTACATACTGTTATTGTTTTAATCCGTAGAATCTCCCAGAGTTTCCTGACGGACTTTCAGAACAACCTGCATACGAAAAGCTAGGGAACATTGCAGGGAAATTGAAAAATATTAATTGTTGAGCATTAAAAGAAAAATATCGAAGAAAAATGAAAAATTTTGGATTGATATTAAAAATGGAAATTGTTAATCAATCGAAACGCTCCTACGATGTTCCCCGAGTTATTTATTGTGAAGCTCTGTAGAACATTTCAAGTTGATTTGTCGAAAACTTTTTAAGTTATATTTCCGGCTAGTTAAAAAAAGTGGTTTCTCCAGAAATGTACTTAAGATTTTCGTGCCATTCAGCATAAGAAATTCGTTGTACAGAGTATAGCAAAAGTACCGGAACGGCATAATAACTCGGCGGGAGAGCATTTTAGAGAAAAATGTAAAATACAAAAGTTTCAAGATTTCTCCCTGGTTATCCGATGGTGACCTTGACATTGACCTCGAAATGCTGAAATTTTTGTATGTAACATTTTTCTCTAAACTGCTCTCCCACCGAGTTATTCTGCCATTCCTGTACTTTTGTTAGTTTGACCTTGTGGGGGCCCCAAGGTCAAAAGGGAGGGGTCACTCAAGGTCAAATCTGAACGTAAAATTTTGTGTTCTTTTCATTTCTGGGGGCAAACGTATAGGGTATCATTTGAAAAATCACATTTGACCTTGAAATAATCTTCAAGGTCACCACCAGATAGCCAGGGAGAAATCCTGAAACTTTTATATTTAATATTTTTCTCTAAAATGCTCTTCTGCCGAGTTATTCTGCTGTTCCGGTACTTTTGCTATACCCTGTATATATTCCTTCAATCAGAGATGCCTACGCCATATATTTGACCTTCCATACTGATATTATCTTCATCCTCTTCTTTTCGGCTTGTTTCGAAACTCAATCTTTATAATAGCTATAGCGTGTCCTCTTACAAATTACAATAAGAACTGCAGCCCGTTGCTTATGCTCCACCTCGAAAAAAATGGTATTCCCGATTTTTTCCCAACCTAAAACTTTTTCCCTATATTCTTCATATAATAAAACGTTTAAACCGTGTAATTCTAGTGGTTTTATCCCTTAAACAATTTTGGTGATTGCACACGATTTCTTACAAAAAAGTACACATATTCTGGAGTGGTTGCCTCCTCGGGGATGAAAGAGAAATGAAAGAAACATTTTTCTAGAGAAATATATTTCACTTAATACAGCTACACAGTTTTCATTAAGAACTATACGATTATACAGAAAATAATACAATAAATAAGCGGTAATGTACACACAGTATAAAGTAACTTACGAAAAAAAAAGAAACGAAGTTAAATAAAAGATAAGTACAAAACTATACATATATACAACATATTTAGATTACTCTTGAGCAGTCCTTTAACTTATTGTCCATACAATTATTGTTAGTAAGACATCACATTTCTATTCATGAAATATTGTGTAATTATTGACAAAATATGTCGTGAAATACACAGAAAAGGGATTAAGGATTTACACGAGTACACATAATATTTAAATAAGTACAAATTAAATGGAAACGGTACGCTACAAAATATTTTTTTATATATATTCGTAATAATGAAAATTTTATACAATTTTTTTTTTGTTAAAAAAATACTTGAAATCCCTACCCCTTGTTACTTCACACAAAACGGTGGTTATAAAGACGACTATCAAAATAGGGTATCTATGATTCAGTCATTCAGTAACTTCAGATAATTCGCAATCTCTCTTAAATATACTATATGCTTATCGCAGGATTTATATTGGATATATTTTCACAGCCTTTAATTCAATGCAAAAAAGGTTAAGAAATGGAAACAAGTTTAACCTTTTCGAAATCAAATTGAATTAACTCTTGACCCAACACATAAGGCACATCCAGATAAAAAAAATACGCTCCTTATGAGTTACGAAAACCGAGAACATCTGTTTTTGGTTCTCGAACAATTTTAAGTACAGTGATAAACAAAGAAACAGTCTATTTAAAAACGCACATCCAGTTTTTAAAACTACGATAAGTACGCTTTTTCCAAACAAAACTTATCGATATCTCCAGGGTATTTAACGTTACTATTTATATTTTTATCCAAACAAATGTCTGTATTCTTTTCGATCTCCAATATGATTGATTTGGCGGAATCTGTATCACAACCAATCAAATTGGGTCTCTCGTTTTTTTCATAAACTTTTCCACTGTTGCTGGGAAGCAGTTCGTTCTGTACTAAAAGTGGTACATGAATCTGACGCTGGAAATCCTCATTTTGGTTCGAGTAGAATATATTCTGGTGTTGCGTTGGAACGACGTATTCTTTTTTTAACAAATTGTCATACGTTCGTTCAAAGTGATCCTGGTGACCATATTTCTCATTGGTAGCCTTGCACTGTGGTGGCACAGGATGAGCATACATTGCAGGCCTGAAAAATAGGCAAATGAATAGTGTCAAAGTATTAGTAAACATATAGAGAGTAACTAAAAGCTTGGACGAACTTTAATAATGAACGTCAAGTCAATTAAAATAAAACTAACCTAATTGTCAGTCACTTCTTTGACTTTGTTTTAAAGGTGAGAATAATGAATGAATGAATGAGAATAATCTCGAAAATAAAAGAAGTCAATTAAGTCAACTTATGTTCTACGATACCAAAGATAGAAAGAGCTTACTATTTCTAGATTTTACTTATTATTGCTTTTTCCAGTGACCTCCTCTTTCTTTTATCATTTACATAGCTTCCTTCCCTTACTACTTTGTACATGTTGAAATACACCTAGCATATTTTCATTAATTTTTATCAAGTTTTATATCGGAAACGAAGCATTTTCGGACACATTTTTTAACAATTTTCATCAAGCATTTTAGTGTATCCTGTATGCTATTTTAAATATTGTGATTAAAGCTTTTTCATGAACACTTACCCCAGTTTGCGAATGGCAGAATTTTGGTGTTCACTTTTAAGTATCTTCACAGCCAGAGCGATGAGCACGAAAAGAATCACAGCTCCACAGATGGGGACAGCAATGGTGGCAGCCCTAAACCACACTTCTGAATTGGAATACAGAAAGGGTTCTTGCTGTTGTTGCTGGAATCTGTTGTCTGAATCTTCAGCAACGTCTCCTGAAACAGATGAATAAACATTTTTATACTACTGTTATTATTTGCAGGGCAATTTTTAAGTTTTTAAGTGTTTTCCTTCTATTAGAATCCAATGTACTATTTTGTAGAATTAAAATAACAGTCCAAGATACGTACTGATGTTAAATGTTTGATAACAGAGGGTGTAAATGAAACGTAGAGATAAAAAGATAAAAATATAAAACTAATATATATAATAAATTTAAAACCAAAGAAAGAAAAGTGTAAACCTTAGATAAAAACTTTTTGATAAAATTATCATTACCTAGAAACATAAAATGGAAAAGTACATTAATAAATAACTATGTTTAATTGACCTTCTATTTAATAAGGTCATATTCAATCTTAATGTAATGTTTAAAATGTCAGTAGCTCGGCTTTTCATCTTTTACAAAAGCCTGTTTTTAATTATTTTTAAATTTTCTATACATGCTTATTTAAAAATCACCCGCCATTTCTTACATGTTAAAATAAAACACCAAAATATTCGGATCGGTTCCGATCGAGTTCGAAATGTATGTTGAGATGGAGTTTTAAGCCCTAATAGATACTTTAAGCTCAGCTTACTACTTATTCTGTGTTGCAGTTATGTCGTCTTTCGTTTTTTGAGACACAGTGCATCCAAAATTTAGAGACTGGCGCAATTTCTTAGCATGAAGGAAACTACTCTTTACTATTGTAAATACACAGGACATTCGAAAAGTTCACAAAGAAAGGTTGGTATTCCACAAAGAGAATATTATGTGTACAATCAAGATTTGGAGCATAAATATTATTCAACACAGCGAAATAATTTTTATTTATAGTTTATACATTACTTAATTATAAATATATTATTGTGTGTTTGTGAATAATAGGCACATTCCGGGAACTTTTTGAAGAACTTGAGTAAATAGTTCATGATGGAGTTGATCATGCGCCCTGAGATTTGGGACTTCAGTTCTGCCAACCTTATAGCGTGAGTTTGCGGTTGTAATATAAAATGAACACTTTTGAAATCCTTTTTTGAAGTTAATCGAAATTTTGTTAGTAATACGCGAGATAATAACTTATCTGTGCATAAAACGTGTTATTTTATTCGAAAAATCACAGAAAAGTAATGTAGTGCAAAGTGTAGCAAAAACAAAATTGGCGCCTAAGAATCATGTCATGAGTCCTAACACGGCGCAGAAACATCTATAAATATATTTAATACAATGTATATCTATTATACACAAAAATATTTACCTAATAGAGTGTTGTTGATAATATTTTTCGTTTGTGGACTTTCTATGTGATTACACATATCATGGTGGCAGCATAAGAACAATGACTTAGGATTGTCTTTTCTTCTTATTGTCGTCCTTTCATTGATGCCTCCTTTGCTGTTACATCTCGATTTTTGTTCCCTGAAACAAAAATAGAATGTTGAGAACTGGTTGAGAACATACGATTTTGTAAACAGGTTCGACCCTGAGAAAACTAAATACCTAGGTAGTTAAAGAAAATTGTGGCGTTATCGAGAGAAAGTTCAAAATCATCAATTATAATAAGTTTATTATGCAGGATACAATTTATATAATGATTGATAGTCAGACGGAATAACTTTATGTCCTGTCTGTACACAAGCAAGCAAAGTATGGAATAGAATTAATTGACCATTTTTAATTTTCTGTAATAAATACCTAAGTATATGTTGCATGTTATGTCGTATAATAGTACCTACATATTTAATTTTGTTCAAGGCTGATAATGTACTAGGTTTTGCATAAATATAAGATCTACGAGTGACAAAAATTTTAACCATTGACATTACATTTATTCAAAATCTACCACCCTTTTTAATACTGAGAAAGGTTATAAGATTGTCGAAACATTGGCAAGAGTTCTTAACTAAAATAAATTTAGAATGATTATTATGTTAATTAGTTAAGATATACTTGTTTCAATAAAAAGTGTCTAGAGAATTTTGAAAATATTTTATTAATTATTTACTGCTCCATTACGACTATAACGTTACAAGACGAATAAAAAATAAATTATTTCAAGATTCCCGTTCTCTTGTGTTGTGCAACAACATATTAAGAAGTCGAGGCGAACTAGGTCGGCATGTCATGAATTTTTTATTTTGTCGTGCTGCATTCCTCAAATTCATAGTTTATTACAGCACTGCCGGAATTATATGTAAAACGAGATAAAGGATGAACTCAGTAGGATAGTCTGAGGCCGAAAGCTCTCGAAAACTACCAGTTATAGAAACGTTATACATATTAGAACTATATACAATATTATCTCCTGAGCCGTTCGGAATACCGTAATTAACATAATACTATTTATCAAAGTTAAGTATGTCGACCCACTTTTACTTATTAATATACTTGTACATAGAGGATGGAATATAAAGTACCAATATACTTTATCTTATATTTTATTGTGCCCTCTCAAAAGTTTGTCTAATTCCTCGGTCAAGTTTATCTAAATATATTCATAATTCTATGTATTATTTTTTTCTCTCAAGAAATGTTAATCCTCAGAATGCCCGCATACTGATTAATGATATTCAATGTTTCTACTCTTTCGGTTATTAAAAAAAAATCCGTTTGGAATTCGTAATAGGTATTTAGTTTTAGATTCTAAAGAAAAAAAAACATGTTTGTAATTTGACATGAAATTACTATTTTTTTATTTCAAGCCTGTCAAACAGGTGAAGAAACAACTTGCATTTCACAATTACGTGTCACGAAGATTTATACAGGATGTACAACTTACCTTTATACTCATCCTCACCCCTGAGAAGTTATAGACCTTGAAAGTGAGGTTTAAAATGTGACAAAATTTTTTAACCCGTTGGCGGACTTAAAATACATATTATATGAGCAATTTAATTCTAAAACGTTTCTTAGGTACTCTTGTTAGTTCTGAAAAAATTTTGTCGTTTTCAAAAAAAAACGAATAACTAATAATATGTGGTTCAATTGAATTCTACTTACTGTCGATTAATGCTCTTTGTACACTTACACCGTGTAACCAAATTCGGTTTATCTAAGTTCAAGTATAACTGAGATATTGATTTTTTTCGAAATTTGAAACACCCCTTTCGTATAATTTCTCAGGGTGCAGCTCAGTATAAAGATAAGTTGCGTTAAATCACCATATTTTGTGTTCCCCTACATGCCCCTGCTCTGTGTCGGTGGTATAGTTGTTACGATGTCAATTGGAACCTGTAAATCTTAAAGCACAGGATCGTATGCACTTCTCCTGAAATTTCTTCTTATGCTTTGACCATGATGCATGATGTGTCTCGTAATGTATACTCGAATAGCAATTCGGCGAGTCCAGTATTGGTAAACTAGTCAGTAGTCCACCTGATGTAGAATTGACGGAGGCGCGCTGGTCATCAAATCAAACCTGTATTGGTCCACTAGGTCGTAAATAATTTTTTTGTATGGTACACGGGTTCACTTAGCTTTGCCGCTTTGCCGCTTTGCCAGAGCAGTGTAGAGCATTGCTTGGCGGGGTATGTTGTTGGTATAATACGTATTATTATTTATTAATTGATATTATTATTTGTTCATATCGTAACCAGTAAAGGGTAATAGTTATTAAAATGCATGTTATATGTAATTGTCTAGTAATTTAGAGTGGCTCTCTGGAGACTCTTTGAAGCGGAAGGATAACGAAATAACTCGGGAAAATCCCTAAATAGTGGAATCGGTTTTTGTCGAAAGTATCGAAACAAACTCAGAGTTTAAAAACAAAGCGTAAAAAGTCAACGTATTATATTAAATGTATATGAATATTTGAAAATTGAAAATTAGTGAACAATGTGATAAAAAAGTTAGGAAACGGATTAACGAATTAACTAAGATATCAAAAAACGACAATTTATCCCATAATTAAAGGATTGATCATGGTACAAAGAGGAAACGGAAAAATACAAAATTAAAGAAAATTGACGATTTTACCAGATGTAATGCAGCGCACAATTTATAATATGTATAACAAAAAAGTTCCTACTTCAAACATGATTCGAGATAAATTTTTCTGGACGTCTATGGATTCCGTAGAATTTATGAGTTAAATGTTTTTATACGGTTCCAATTGAGATCGTAACAACTATAAGACCGATATGTGATTTTTTAAGTCAAATATTTTAAATTTAGAGAATGAGTAGGTATAGGTACATATCACTACAATACTCATTACTATGCATTTTTACAGATTTCAATTTGAACAGTAAGTATATTAGCTAATTTATGTATGTAAAAGTTACTAGAATTGTAACAACTTTTTGATCAATAATTGGGCTTAAAAATAATACTAAAGCATAGAAAATTAGAAGGGGGAGGGGGGGGGGTGGTATGTAATCACCTTATTACTTATGATGTCACTTATCTCTTTGTTCTAAACTTTATCATATTTTTTATCAACACCTACGTATAATTTAGTAATAATTAAACTCTACTTCTGTGCTAACGCGTTCTGAAATTTTGCATCTAGGTACCTTCTTTGTTATCGAATAAATATGTTAACTTTGATTATTGATATTGATTACTGATTATTTACTATGGACTATGGTAAAGGTACATTTTGAACTTCAAATTTAGTACTTTGCATACGTAGAACACAATTTATGGATAACTGTAGTTGAATATCCATTCATTGTGTCGCGTTCAGCATCCCGTTGCGTGGGTACCGATGTAAGTCCTTGTGAAGTTGCCTTAATGCTCGCTCAAATTTTGACATGCGCAGGATCGCCCATTAGACCTTTAAATTGATGATGCAGGGAAAGGACCTTTACCCGTTTCTAAAAGTTTATCATTTCAGGTTTCACATAGTTCTATTTAACCACTTTTGCTTTAATTGTTAATTGTAACTGCCGCTCACTTATTTGTTTCTTTTGTAATACTGATCCGAATAAGAGCGGATTTCTCTTTCTCACTCGGTTATAATCGAATTAATAATGTTATTAAATTTCATCGTGGCCTCGTACATCCTGTATAAGGCCAGGAAATTATATCAATTATAACTAATTTATAATGTGTAGTGCAACTACGATTATTAAAATAATTACGCATAATTTTCTATTTTTACCCGGGAATGTTTATTAACAAAAAGCAATAAATCTAGAATGCAGCGATTGTTTTTTGTTGGAAATGTACTGTTAGATAAGCGGCGCGGTTTTTTCAAATCGAGCAAATGAAACCAATTTATCTACATAAATAAACACATATTACTATGCGCGTTAACTGTAAACCTACTTTGTATGGTTATTAATAAGTGGATACGGTTAAACTTGTTTTGAAATGGGTTTAATTGAATTACATAAATACATTTTTCATCGGTCTATCTGAAGCGGTGGCTGTCAGAAAAATCGCACACCGGTTTCATAACGGTCTCGCGTTTTTCGAAACAGAAATAGAACTCGCCATTTGCTGCCTTATTTATTATAACTAATGGTAATATTAATCTGATAAAAATGAAATGACATGCAGCTATTTACAGATAGACATGCGGACTAATGGCGTAATGGCAGGAAGGAGATTTAATCCTGCCGTCACGAATTTAACTGTACTCTGTTTGATTATTCTGATATTTTAAGATATTTAATAGGATAATTACTCTCTTCAACATGCTCAAATGTCAGAGCAAAATGAAGATACAAGGCGTACCAGTTTCAATCTGCCAAAATAAGGAGGATGGGGTGCTTCATCGGGGTGTTAAATAATCATTGCTGCCAATGCAAAGAAAAATATTCTTTATGACCGCGCCGCGCGCCATTATTCTATGGCTAGAAATTGGCCTCAATGATTTGGGATCGAGGGGGATTATCCCTCTTTATCCTGCCTCATCTCGTG